CAAAACATATACTAAATAACAGTATATTTGTCGGGAACATATACAAAAGATATACTAGTTGTATACATAGGAGTAGCCTTATTCCTCTCTTCCCTTCTTGTACTCGAGCAACAACAGCCAGAGGGCCTTCCGCATTTGAGTAGTCTTCAAGCATCCCATCGCGAACACTTTTCACCTGTTGAAGAGACCACCGACGACAGCCCTGCATACGAACAACACCACGCCGGAGAGCCGAATATTCTTCACTTTCACTCACTTTGGCTTGAATTTCATCCTCAAAATTCGAATCTGGTACTTCATATTTTTTTTCTCGATCAACCCAATTTCTTGTCGATCTGAAATTTCTTTTGTACAAGGGTTGGGTGCCTGTTTGATTTCATATTCCTTAGACCGGAACTCAACCTCCGATGAGGTGAACTTCCGGCTCCGATGGATGGGCTTCTTCCAAATTTAGTCTTTGCCACTGTTGTTGAGCTTCAGAGGAGATAGGGTTCGATGTTGACGACGAGGTGTTATTTGGAGAGAGATTAATTATGTGAGAGAATTCTATTACCATATTACTTTTCTGGCAGATCTGCAAATAAAAAGTATAATTTGATTAATATTGCTAATATTTATAATTTGAGATTAATTGTGTCATAAAAAGTCAAATATATGGTGTATTGAGTAATTTTCTCTATTTTTTTTATAAATTCCCCTCATTCTTTTGACAACTATTAAAATTGGGCTCATATTCTTTAAATTCTTGGCCCAATAAGTTTATAATGATATATAGTATCCAATAAAACTATTATAAATATTGACCACAAAAAATTTGTAGTACAAATTACTTAAAAAGTCATTTTGTTTGCTTCAATGTTTAATTAACTTGAAATCCTTTTTGTTAGCTGCATTTTATTTTTTTTCATAAATGTTTAAAAAAAATAGTTTGATAAGAATACATTTATAAATGTCGTATCTTAAATTAAAATATATGTATTTTAATGTTTGCAGGTACACCAATATCTACTAACACGCCTTCTATTATTCAACAATCCGGTATTATATTTTTTATTTTTCTCGATTTTTTATAATTTTAAGTGCTTGTGTAATTATAAGAAATATTTTTAGGAATATGTTATTATTTTACTGACTTTTATTTAACCTTTCATTTTAGGTGTTACTTTCCTAAATTCTCAATGTTTGTCTCAAAAGATTTCAATATCCCACCTTGCTAATGCTTCTTCGAGTGGTTCGGTACCTTTAATTGATATTACAATTGACGACGATGAAAATGCGAGACTGAGAATGTTTGTTAACCATGTCAACAATGGTAATTCAAAATCCATGTCCTGGAATGCAAGATTTTAACCGGCGCCAGAGTTGGTGACAAGGTTCTTATTCCTAGGCTCACAATCATATTATCTGATTTGAGGGTACCGTTCAAATTTCAGCGCAGACAATTTCCGCACATGCTTTCATATGCCATGACTATCAACAAGAGTCAAGGCCAGCCACTGTCCCACGACGGCTTACTATTGAAGAATCATGTATTCAGTCATGGACAATTGTATGTGGCACTATCTAGAGTCACGAATCGGAGAGGTTTGAAGATAATGATTTGTGGGGATGGAGAGTGGGATGATTAGAAAAACCACAAACGTTGTATATAAAGAAGTGTTTAATAATATTTAGATTAAATATTTTGTTGCTTAACGTTTTCTTCAATGATTATGCTATTATTTTTACAATGTTTTTTTTTTCTCTATCATATGGTTTTCCGTGCAAATGCACGGGTCAACAACTAGTACATATTATTACTACTTTAATCTACAAATTTTACATACAAAACATTTAATTTTGTTACTTTATGTATATTTATATGACAGAATACTATATATGTATATAATTTTAAAAAATTTAAAATTAGTTACCCGGTTCAGCAATTGACCCGGTGACCCGATGACCCGGAGTCCTTTTCGGGTCGATTACCGAGTCGGTTTAAAAACTGTGCTTGGAAAACGACAAAGGGGGAGGAGAAGCGCGTGAGATCGTGCGAGTGGCCCTCAGAGTTGTGTTTATTGGCGCCACGAATTTGTGGTTTCATTTGGCCAATCAGATTCCGTGATAGCTTTGACTAGGCGACCCAACTCGGACAAGTATGCTTTGAGGTCACGCACGTTCGAATTCTCTTGGGAGAATGTGTAAGAACAAATGGAAATACTCCCGTTGACAATTGTTACAAACACGACTCGTTTGTAAATTCGACTTGTCTCATTCAGAATCGAGATCAGTTATATTCCTTTAACAAATGTGACAGTCTCGTTTTGGTTGGCTCGTTACATCTCCAAAAAAAACATTGTATAATTTTTTACAGTCTCATTCATATTGACAAATGAGTCGAATTGAACTCGTTTATTGACCAAATTGTTCTAAACATGAATGGGAGTATTTTCCTGAGCCAGAAATTTGGGGCGCATGTGAGGACGGGCTCACTTCCTGGGCCTAGAAATGAGATATGTGTGGCTCCATGACAATTGTGGACTCTTCAAATTACATGCAAGAAGCCCAATAAATGGCCCATTAAAATACCAGACCCTATGACCTATGTCAAAGCGTCATTCAATAATCTATACTTATATAAAAAGATATCATATTTACTAGAATTAGTAGTAAAAAAAGTTAAAGGTAATTAATACATTCTATTTCTATCAAGTATTCTATTTAATTATTTTATTTAATTGTTTTATCCCATAACACATTTTCAATACAACTTACCATGATTTTTTATTGTAATTAAAAACCAGATTTTATGTTTAAAATCTTGTGAAATTATTATTATTATTTTTTATAAAACACATATTATTTGTTAAAAATTTGTGTGTATATACATATATATATTATAACATCATAGTACCATTGTAGATGATTTAAATTTCAACCGAACAAAATGTCAATAATTTAAATTTGAGTCCATAAAAAATT